CCATGAGGGCAACCAGCACCGTGCGCAACTCGGCAAAGCTGCGGCCTTGCTTCAGCAGCTGCAGCAGGAACAGGCGCATGCGCTGGATCACGCTCATGCTGTCGTTGACACCACTGGCAAAGCCGTCACCATCATCGTCTCCTCCAAACAGCACAGGAAGCACGTCAGTCAGCGTCTCCAAATCGGCCACGTCGTGGTCCAACAGCGCGCGCGCAATGACACGCACGCATGTACGCAGCACAGCAATGCCAACCACGCCATCACGTGCCTGCGCCGGGGAGATGCCACCCATACCGTCGCCAACGTTGCTCATCACCTCCTGCACCGCATTTACGCACGGCTGCAGGTGGTGTTCCATGTGCAAGATGGCGATGAGGCTGCAGCCGTTGATGGCGCGTTCGACCACAAAGCGCTCCAGCACGTCAACGGCAAGCACGAGCATGGGCGGGCTCTGCGTTGCATCAAAGTTGTCGTGGGACATCACCGCGCTCAGTGCCTCAAACAAGGGGCCAGGCGCTTGCTGGAATAGCTCGTGCACCTCACGGTGACCACCTGCAAAGTGCAGCACAGCCGTGTGGACAGCATGCCCAACGTGCGGCAGCCAGAAGTGGTTGCTCGTCTGGCCACCAATACCAGCACCACCATCGTCTTCTTCGCTCTCGATGGGCGTGAGGTTGGCCACGTTGAGGACACGGCGGCACGACGGGCACGTGCGCCTCGCCTGGGCCCATTCAACAATGCACTGGTGACAGAATCTGTGGCCGCACTCTGTGCTGACGTTCACGGCAGTGACGAGGCAGATGGGGCAGAATGTCATCGCTGCACGCGTGACCATTCGGCACAGCTGGGCGAGGGTCGTGCGCTGCTCTTGTGCCGTCATCTCCGCGTAGTTGAGGTGCAGCATCTGGCTGAAGAGGGCAACCGTGTCGGAGACCAGGCGCCTTCGCTCACTACCAACGGACCACAGTGGTTTGTCTTCGTCGAAGCTCTGCTGCAAGAACCTGAGCAGCTGCTGCGACGGCGACCCCGTTGCTGTTGCTGTCACCGGCGCCGCGTACGGCTCGGTGTGGGCTGGTGTCAGCGACAAGTGCATGAATGCCTGCAGCAGCGGCACCACCTCCAGGTCGCTGTTTCTGCTCCACGCGTGCAGGATGGCGTTGAGGAGCCTGACGCGCGCCATGATCTGGGGCGTGATGGCCGCACGCCCGCCGCTCGCATCGCACGGCAGGGCAAGCAGGTGCTGCATCACATCGCGGGCAGCAAACACCATGCCCATGGCTTCATTGGCCTCATCCTCACCCTCATCATCGTCACCACTGTAATCGTCGTCATCATCATCGTCCTCAGCATCATCATCCTCATCGTCGTCGTCGTCTTGTTGGCGGGTGATGGCAGCGATGAAGCGCAGTGCGATGCTTTCACAGATGCCGTGTACGATGGCAGATGTGCCCGTGGGCCGGCCAGGACTGCTTTCAGCATCATTGTCATCGCCATCAGCGTCGTCACCACCAATGTTGGTGTCATTGATGGAGTTGAGGGCAACTTGCAACACGTCACCGCGTGCGTCAGAGCGGCGGGCAATTGACAGCAGGCTGAAGAACGCGTACAGCATCTGCTCGTTCTCCTGCAGCTTCTTCAGCACCTGAAACACGTGCTCATCGGAGGTGATGCTGATGTCGTCCCCAAAGCACAGGCACAGACCGCGCCAGATGTCCAGCACGTTGGCGCCAACGTGGTTGTTGGCATAGCGCACCCAGTCCACCAGCAACAACGGCCCAACAACCGCAGCTGCGTTGTGTACCTGAGACATGTCACCAAACCCGTTCCCGCTCTCGTCACCGTCATCATCATCATCGCCATTCGCATCCAACTCGTCCACATCATCGTCATCATCGTCATCGTCATCATCGTCCTCGCGCTCGTCCATGTCGTCCACGTCGTCCATGTCGCCATCATCATCGTCCTGTGTGTCCATGATGTCAAGAGTGACGTCGTCGGTGCTCACACCGGCCGCAATGGCGTGCGAAAAGGCGTCACGCACGCGTGCGATGAACCCCTGCACGTGGCTGGCACGCGTCTGCTCCGTGGGCGCCGCGTCCATCTCGGCAAATAGCGCCTCTGCCAGCGCACACAGGCTGTTGTACCAGCGATGCGTTTCTGGGAGCCGCAGTGACACGGGGCGCAGCACACTTGTGGTTGCAGGCGAAATGTCATCCGCGTCGCCCTCGTTGTCAACAACTGGCTGCTCGTGCTGCGCAGTGCTAGCGGCAAATGCGCGCGCCGTGGACGGCAGTGCATCGAGTGCGAGCACGGCGTACGCCCGCGGGGAAATCTCGAGCTGAGCAAGCAGCGCGCGCGTGGCATCGTCAGGCACAAGCTGCCTCACATCGGGCACAAAGTGGTGCTGCTCCATGCTGAAGATGATGCGTGCGAGCGCAGACAGGAATGCCTCACGCGCCGTGCGCACCACACGCTGCCCAAACGTGGCGTAGCTTGGCTGCTTCATGTCCTGCTGCGCCAGCTGTGCAACCCACGTCGTGGTGGAATCCAGCATCAGCGCCGCCGCGTGCGCCAAAATCATGCACAGCTGCTCGCCCTCCTGGTCTTGGGACGTGAGCGCGGCCAGCAGCCGGTCGATTGAGGACCGCGCACGCTGCTGGCAGTGCGGCACGCGCGAGAAGTCGATGCGCGAGTAGCACCACCACAGCGCGTCTGGGGTGATCAGGCGCCGGTAGTGCAGCAGCGAATGATCGTGGCGCAGCACCACGTCCTGCAGAGAGTGCGAGCACAGCTCAATCAGGTTGAGGGTCGGCTCAACAACAGGTGGCGCCGATGGCCCAGCTGGCACATGCATCGACGCACCGCCAACATCATCACCGCCACCGCTCACGTGCTGCGTATGCTGCTCCTGCTGCAGGGCTTGTGCAGCAAAGGAGGGCAGCGAGCCGAGATCGTCGCAGTAGCGCAGCTCCCACTCCGCAGACGCGGTGATGGTCTGCAGCATGGCCACTTCCTGCGCTTGCTTGCGGAGGCTCGTCGTCTTGGAGTGCATGTGCACGCACACAATCACGCGGCTGCACCCCTGGCCACCATGTGTGTGCTCACCGTTGAGACCAGCATCGCCGCGCGTCTCCCGGTCAACGCCAGCCAGCAGGCCGTCCACCTTCTCCTGCACCATGGCCAGGTGCTTGAACTCGTTGAGCAGCAGCTGCACCACAACCGTGCCGTGGTGGCCGGCGCGGCGCAGTGCTTCTCGCAGCTCAAGCGACAACATGCGCTCAGACTTGATGTCGGACACACGCACAATCTCACACTCCGACACCTCCCTGAAGGGATAGAAGATGCTGGTGCGCGTCACCAGCAACAGGCGGCGCAGCGGCTGGGCCGGCAGCGGCTGCTGCCGTGCCTTCTTCGCCTTGCTTGGCTTCTCCAGCATCTCATCGTCATCGTCTTCAGCGGCACCTTCATCAGTGGCGGCGTCGTCATCATCATGACCACCAGCACCACCATCGCCATCATAACCACCACCATCGCCATAATCGCCATAATCGCCCTTGCGCACACTGGCCCCTTGTTGTTCGTCACCATCCCCACCACCACTATCCCCTGACGGTGCACCAAACCACTGCAGCCACTCCAACAGGCCCGCGAGGGAGTGGTGCGAGGATTCATGCGTGTACACGTCGACCACGCGCTGCTTGTCCTCGTCCGAAAACTGCGTCAGGGACACCACAAACTCAAGCGTCATCAGGTCAATCAAGCTGTGCTTGATGCGTTGCTGCAGCTGCTGTGCCAGGTCGGGGGTCAGGCGCCACTGCGATGCGCGCAGGAACCGGCTTCCCGTCGCACCACCGGCATGTTGTTGCTGCTGTTGCTGTTGCTGTTGCTGTTGCTGTTGCTGTTGGAGATAGCTTGGTGGCACATGCATCTTCAACCCTTCATTTTGCTGATGCAGCAATTCCTGCCAGCTCTCGTCACCAGGCTGCATGCCTTGCTGCTGCTGCTCTGACTGCCACCCATGGGTGACAGTGACGTGCAGCTGAGCCGGCTTGGCACGTACAACGCGACTTGGTCGAATGTTCTCTCTCTTGATTGTCTTGCTGCTCCCAGCCGAGGCCATGGCCGCCTGCATGCTCGCCAGGTGCTTGAGCAGCAGGCTTGCTACCAAGTTGTCGCCATAGCACGGGATGGCCCTCGCCTTGTCCTGTGGCGTCACGGCGGACGTGTCCTGTCCACACGCAACGATGCGTGTGAGCCAGTTCTCCACCTGCGTGCACACGTCCCGCTGGTCCCCCGACAACACGTCTGTGAAGCTGAGCAGGTGCTTCTCAAAGCGGTTGAGGAAGGGCGGGTCGTACGTCTGCATCTTCTCCCGATCCATCAGCACAACGCAGCGGAACCGCTCGTGCACGGGGCACAGCGGGTTGCTGAGGGAGCCCAGGGCAATGGTGCAGTTGCGCCGGCCCTTGATCATGGTGTAGCTCTGGTTCAGCATGTCGTACAGGCTACCGTAGATGGAATCAAGGTCCACCAGCACCAGCACGCCACCGTGCTCCATTTTCAGGATGATCTGGCTCAGCACAGAGTACGGGTACTCCTCGCTCACCACGTCCGCCTCAAACTGGCTGCCGCGGATAATGAGGGCGTTGCTCGTGTCCAAGCTGGAGAAAGTCTTCAAGATGGACAGCGCCGCGCGACCAACGGACCCAATCATCAGGTGGCGCGCAAACACGTCCTGCCAGTTGTCCTCGATGCATGCCACGGTGTTGTGGCTCGCATTCATCAGCGTCACAGCCAAGCGGTCAGCGTGGTACCACCCCACTTGCAGCAACTGCTCCTGCACGCGGGTGAAGAAGAGCTGCCGGTCGCTGTGGACGGTGTCGCCTCCGAGCGTGCCGGAGAAGTTGCGGATGATGGCGGTGGCCACCACGCCCTCGCTCGCATTCAGCTCACTCATCCTGCGACACATCGACTTGCAGACACTGTAGAAATCTCGGAGGCCAAAAAAGGGCTGGCGGTTCTGGGCCTTGCATTCCTGCATGTAATCATGATACCCAAAAGCCACCCCCTTGAGAGGTAGCTGCAACTCATCAGGGAGATCGCAAGCTCGTGTTGGACCTTCGTAGAACCGATATTCTGTTGTAACGAAGTTGCTTGCAATGGTGACTGCAGTGTGGAGAAGGTCTTCGCGTGATGGATCAGGCCGGGAGATGTGCAGTGCGCGGTTCATCTTCGCCGCATCGAGCGCCCAGTTTGAGATGCCGACGACGCCAACACGGAGCTCGCTGCCGTCTGGCGGCTCAAGTTTGGCGTGCAGCACCTTGAGCGGGTTGTGGCGCGAGTGTTCTGTGAGTCCAACCTCATCCAGCACCACCACGGGCAGCACGTCCTGATGGTTGGCGCTGTCCAGGTACGCTTCCGCGCGGGCAAACACCTGCAGGATGCCCTCGCTCGTCGCCTCAACGCTGCCTTGGTACGCAAACACGGTGATGCCAGGGTACAGCTTGAGCAGCGGGTCGCGCGAGTCACGGCCACGAAGACTGTTGTTGACCAGGCTCATGCTCACCGTCTTGCTGTTGCCCGGCTTGCCAATCAGGAAGATGGGGATGCGGTTGAGCAGCGACACCACAATGGAAAACGTGTTCTCCAGCAAGGCCGCGTTCTCTGCCAAGTTCTGGAACTGCGGTGCCCGCCTGTCCATGCGATCCACCATGTCCAGCTGCTCTTCGCGAAGGAGCCGCAGAATGGCTTCTCTCCCCCACCGTTTCCACGCCCGAAAACGCGCGCTGCACTGGTCAAGCAGCTCATTGCGCTTGCTTTGCTCAGGAAGACGAACAACGTAGCACTGAATGAGTGACAGCCATGCAGCATGCATTTTCGATGACATGAAGGGGATGGTGGTTTCGCGCGGTCTTGGTCCGGGACTGGGGAAGGGTGCTCTCTGCTGCCGCCACTTCTGGAAGAATTTGAAGAGTGTGCAGAAACGCTTGACGTCACGCAGGCTGATTATGTGGCCTGTCTTCTTCCTCAGGTAGTCGTGGCACTGATACAGCATCTCCACCACAGCCTTTTTCTCGTCCCGATTGAGTCCAAGGCCGTCCACCATGCTGCCCATGTACAGCCGCTCGTCGCCAGCAGACAGCTCGCCAAAGTCCCACACGTACGGCAGCATCGCCTCCGGCAGCGGGTGCACGCGGTACATGAGGTGCGACTGCGCGTCAATGGGCTGGCGCTCCATGGTGACCAGGCCTGGTGTTGGCGCTGGGCGGTCACGGCGCTTGTACGGGTTGCACGCAGCGGCAATCTTCACGTTGTCCGGGATGGAGCGGGAGCCGCAGCGGCGGCGCACAATGATGTCTGACAGCAGCTCGAGGTGCTCGCACGTGTTGATCTCATCAAGGAATGCCCACACCGTCACAGGATGAGCGGGCATCACTGGAGTGGAGGTGCACGACGCCGAAGAAGTGGTTGTTGACGAAGTGGATGCAGAGCCGGGAGCATTGGGGTCAGCATCACCATCTTGCTCTCCTGTGGCCGATGTGGCTGACGTGGCTACCTGGTCGTTGGTTTGACCCTGTGGATCGTCACCATCATTGCCCTGAGATACCACACGAGTATTCGTTGCTGACGATGTCGATGCAGAGCCGGGAGCGTTGGGGTCAGCATCACCATCTTGCTCTGCTGTGGCTGACGTGGCTGTCTGGTCGTTGGTTTGCCCCTGTGTACCAGCACCAACACCAGCCTGGGGCACCACCGCCACATCAACACACCCGGCGTCCTGCAGCAGCTTCTCCCCCAGATCGATGGCTTCGTTGACGTAATCGATAATGTCCTGCGCCGTTGTGCCTGCGTGGATGCCAAGTGGCCGCTCATACACCACGTCGTTGCACATGTGGGCCAGCTGATGAAACAGTGACGTCTTACCGCAGCCTGCGTGGCCCATGAGAATGCACGGCACGTTGTTGGTGATGCGGATGTAGATCAGCACCATCTTCAGCAGGTTGTCTGGTGTCATGGCATACCAGTTCTGGGCCGCTTGAGTTTTGTGACCCAGCAGTTGCTTGAGCTGCACAAACAGCTCTTGAGAAGTGTACTCGTGCATTTGTTTGAGTGGATGGCGTTGAAGTGCAAAGAATCGGCGCACCTGCGGCGGGACACTGTTTGGGTCCGAGTAGAAGGCACAAACACACCCATCATCGGCAACGCACAGCATCCAGTGCTCCATCTCAGCCCACGTGATGGCCTTCTCCATCTGCCGCAACACGTCATCGGTCACCGTCCCAGCCGCGTCCTGGTGATGGTGCTGCACGTCTTTCACGGCGTCAACGGAGGGCATTGCAAATCGTTGTACTGTGTTCACCACCGCCATGAGCATGCCCCGCCGAATCTCGTGTGCTCGTGAGCGAGAGCGCCCTACCCAACCGCAGAGCTCACTCAGGCGAAGGAACACACTTGTAAGCATGCGCGGCAGCTGCTGGGCGGCGACGAGGAGGAAGGTGTTGAGTTCGCCAAAGGAGGCGTGGTTCTCTTGCAGGCGCGGGAAGTATTGAGTCAGGAGGCGAATGCAGTCTCCCTTGCTCAGCGGTGTTGGCTCAATGCCATCCATGGCGTTCAGATCAGGTTCCCTGTACACCACGTCCGTGAGCTGGTCCCTGTGCAGGAGGTCGAGGTAGCGACAAGCACGCTGGATGGGGGAGCTCGTATCCGTTGGCACGTGAATGTTGTTTGCGTCCCACCCAAGCACTTCCTTGGTAAAAGAGGCAGTGGGCGCGCCCGTCTGTGCAGGCGCAGCCTGTGTGGTGGATGCCGCCACTTCATCGGCAAACGGCGCCTTGGTGGTGAGCGCGAGCTGCTGGCTCAAGCGGTCGTGCAGCGTGTTGCCAATCTCAACGTACACCGCGACGTGGCGTGGCACGTGCCACAGCCTGTCGTCGCGCGAGAGGCAGCGCAGCACCAGCAGCTGGAACAGATGCATGTTGAGGTCATCCTCAATGTTCAGTGCCGCCCCGACGTCAATGTACAGTGCCTTGACGCGCGGGTCCATCAGCGGCAGGCGAGACAGCTTGTCGTGCAGGACGTCAAACGTGTCCTGCCCAGAGACAAGCAGCGTGCAGTAGTGCCCGCCATCGCCAGCAACAGCGTCACGCGGGAGTGTTGCTGTTGTCGCCATGCCTGCAGGCACGGGCCCACTCGGTGGCACGGGGAACTCAAACGACGCGTCCAAAAACTCGTCGTCTTCACCATCGTCATCGGATGAGAAGAGCGCCGGTGATGCGTCGCCATCCCCTTCATCGTCGTCCACAAGGTCGTCCCCGCCATCAGCACCACTGCCACCCGTTTTCGTCGTGGCGGTGGTTGCGGTGGTAGCTTGCGACGTGCGTGAGAGCATGGACGAGCGAAGCGGCCCGCGTCGCCCAACACGGCCACTGCCACGTCCACTGTCGCCATCACCATCATCATCACCATCGCTAGCACCGTTGCTGCCACCAGCAAGGCGTGCGAGGTGTTGCTGGATGAAGGTGGATTTGCCCTGCTGCGCGTACTCGCTGGCAACAACGGTGACAGCACCGTGCTCCCTCGTGTGCAGCGCGTAGTTGGCCAGCAGCTGTTGCGCCACGTGCCCCGTCAAGTCTTCGTCCACCAGCCCTGCAACGCCATGCAGGAGGCGACTTCGCGTGGTGCGGCGACACACGACGGTGAAGCGTGGAAGCGGGCGGCTTGACTCCGGCACGTGCTCGCCAACAGCGGGTGCGAATGGCTTTGAGGAGCGAGGGTTGGAGCAGCGGTGGCCCCACTTGGTCAACTCCTCCTTCAACTCCGCCTGCGCTTCAATGCTGAGCAGCTCCGGATACACGAGCACAAACGGCAGGTCTGTTGTCTCCTGGCTGCGGGCAAGGAACAGCCGCACAATCGCCACGCGCGTGTGCTCGGAGCAGAAGAGGCACTGCGCAGGCAGGTACTCCAGGTTGGCGTCCGTGAATGCGGCCAGGATGGAGGCGGCGGTCGTGCGATCGTCCTCAGACAGCAGCACCCGCACAAGATCGTGCTTGGCAGCGTGGCGGAACGGCGGCAGCATGCTCTCGTCAATCATTCCAGAGGGGCGAAGGGCGCGTGGTGGCGGCGCATCGATGAGCGACTTGAGCATCGCCAGCAGCTCGCTCAGCCGGTGCACGTTGTCATCGCATGCACCCATGCTGTTGAGCCCATCGCGCACAAACAGCGACACCTGGTGCACGTCGGCGTGGGGACCGAGCATGGCCAGCAGCAGCTGGTCTCGCTCCTGCACCAGCTCCTCATCGTGGTGCTCGTGTGGTTGCACGAGTGCATGGAACAGCACCACCAGCTGGCGGTTGGAAAAGATGTTGAGTACGTCATAGTGCTCGCGCATCTCCTTCAAGCGCTCCGTCCACAGCAGGAGGCGGGTCTGCAGTGCATTCCTGTAGTCCTTCAGGTTGGCGCCCTGCACCGCCATTGCGTGCGTGTAGCAGTTGAACTCTTCAAGGTGTCCGCTCTCCGCCAGCTGCTTCAGCTCTGCCATGGCCAACTCGACGCCTTCCACCAAATCCCTGAACCGCTGCATGTGCACACGCACGTCCTGGTCCTGGTCTGTGGACAGCAGGCACGCGCGCGCACGCAGGTCGCTCACGTCGCGCTCCGACAACTCAATGTCCTCGCTCCTGTGGCGGATGCAGATGTGGTAGCTTGCGGTCTGGCGGAGCGAGTCGCACCTGAACACGATGCGTGCGCCTTCGACGGAGGGATCAACAACGAGGCGAATGCGTTCGCGGGCAGCGGCACCGCGGTCGCTCAGCGTGTTCACAAACAGCTGCAGCGCCTCCAGGCCTTGGTTGCAGATGCGCAGCAGTTGCGACAGCGGTAGGCGGTCTGGCTGACGTGCCGATGATGCTGACGACGACGCCGAACCTGATGTTGCTCCCGAGGAGGATGCAGCATGGCCCTGGCTCTGGTGAAAGCGCTGGCTGAGAAGACGAAGAAAGTCCTCCAGGTCCTTCGCCTTTGTGTCAGCGTTGATGAGCGGGAACATGAACGAGTGCAACAAGATGAAGGCGTTGACCTGCTCTGCGGTGGCCATGTATGCGTCGGAACCAAATGTGTCCGCGCTCGCCGTGTAGTGACGTATGTCGCCCTCTTGTTCTCGCAGAAACTCGAGCAAGTTGCCTGCGTCGGCCATCTCACCAAGCACCTCCCACACGTCGGGATCGTCAGGGACATGTGACTGCACGTCCTGCACAGCCGTGTGCAGGTGGCGGAGTGTCTGTGAGTCATCCACGTCCAGCACCGCGTCGATGGCACTGGTAAGCTTCGAAACTGGCGTGACGAAGAACGGCCTGCACACGTGTAACACTCGGTTGAGTTGCTCTGCGCGCTGTGCATAATGACGCTGCTCAGCATAGCTGATGAGCTGCTTGGTCAATTGCGCGAACGGGCCCCGTGTACGGACTTCAGATGGGTGGCCAATGATTGTACACAGCAGTGTCATGTCGTGCTCCACCTGCGCGCGCGTGAGCCCTCCCCACATGATGTGAAGATCAGACAGCTGAGTACTGCTTCGAAGGTTGTTGAACAAGCGTGTGTGTTGAGTCTTAACTTTGTCCGCAGTCTTGAGCACCTGTTCCACCTCCCGCTTCGCGTCTGTCATGACCTGCTCATCGTCAGCGCGAGCTGTTGATGGCGATGACGGTGGTGGTGATGGCGATGCGGCTGTTGTTGAGGTTGATGTCGTGGTTTCGGAGAGGCCGGAGTCGTCATTCTCATTGCTCTCGTTTGTCTCGCTTGCGTCGCTTGCTGATGGTGTGGCTGGGGTGTATGATGAATGCACTGAGGCCATTTCTGTCGCGAGCATCCTTCGAAACGTGTGGCTGTTGGCGCGCTGGTGAAGTGCTGTAAGCAAATCTCTGCTCTCTTTCAAGATGTTTTCGGCAGTGTTCCAGCGGTTGCTGTCATTGACTTGACTGAGTGGCTCCGTCAGCCACGTTTCCAGCGTGGCAGGCAAACTGGCCACCCAGGGATTCGAAGGCAGGATGTCTGAGGCGAACTTGTGCAAGCTGTACACCGTCCAACGTTCGTCACAAAGTTGGTCGTACACACTCAATGCCTCCTGAATCAGGACAAGAAGCTCTTCTTGATCAGATGGTGCCACGATGGCCAGAAGGTTCGCAAGGGTGTGGATTTTACTCAGTCTTCTGCCAGGCTCCTGCGCCGGTGGAAACAACACTGCCATGTCGGCTGGCGTCTTGGTGAGGTCACGCCACGCCTCGTATTCGCGGGCCAGGGTCTGTCGTGCTGACACTGCCGGCTGCGTCTGCCGCCAATCGCGTGGCGAGCGCATGTTGAGCACCAGCCGCCACAACGCAGGTTGATCAGTAACATCCTTGAAGGTTTGCGGGATGGTGAGCTCTGACAACATGTCCACGCCAACGCGGCGGAACATGTCGTGATGGCTGTCGTTCTGGCGAGCGGCGGTTCGCAACACCTTGAGCAGGTTGCACAGCTCTTCATCACCGGCCTGGCGGTGCTGCCGGGCGAGAGCAACAGCGCGGTTCGCAGCAAGACCAAAGAGATGGTTTGGTGTCGTTCCCTTCTCGGTCAACTGGATGCCGTCTTCACTTGAGGCGGCAATCAGCTGTTGGAAGAAGGCAACGAGGGGCACGTTGCTCTCTTCCACGCAGTCGCCGGCGAGCAGGTAAATGGGCTTGAACTTGTGCATGCGTGCTGCCACCTCAGCCGGTCTGCCAGCTGGTATGCTGCTGATTACACCAAGCTGCTCGCGTAGTGTGTCTTCAAGCTGGACGGCTAAATGAATGAGTGAGCGAACACTCAGCTCCTTCACCGTCTTGATGCGTGGCTGCTGATGCTGGTGGTGCTGCTGGTGGTGCTGCTGGTGGTGCTGCTGATGTTGGGCACGTTGTCGGTGCCGACGACGTGCCCTGCCTTTGCCGTTTCGATTGCGGCGACTGGTGAAGACAGTGGCAGAAGCAGATGTGGCTGGGCTGCGCGATGACGACGACGATGCACCACTGGTGTCAGAGTCAGGGTCGTCCACGGTGACGACTCGCATCTTGGTTGCTTCTTCCTTCAGCCAGGTGCGCAGGCCTGTCTCAACCTCTGCTGGCGACACCACACTCCACATGCCCGCGATGACCGTCACGGGCGTGAGGTGGTCCGGGATGATATGAAGAACAGAACCAAGAATGAGACGGCACATGCTGCTTCGTGTGTTGTTCATGAGCATCTGCATGAGCCGCCCCCGCTGGTCAGATGTGAGTTGCGCCGACGTTGCCAGCTTTATCGCACCCTTTGCGAGCGGGTGGTCCGCGTCGTTGCCAATCGATGGCAGCTGGCTCAGCCACACGTCGAAGATGTGCTCCTGCGCCTGTGGCAGCGTGGACATGTACTTGAGGTAGGCGCCCGATGTGCCCGCAGCCCGCTTCTTCTTCTTCTTCTTCTTCTTGGTGCCCTTGCCGCCAGTGTTGGTGAGAGCAGTGCGCACCACCCTGCCAAACTTGCTGGGGTCGTGTTCGCTCAGCACCTTGCTCGCCGGGTGAGTTGCAGCGAAGAAGATGGCATCTTTGGGTGTCAGTTGTGCCAGGATTGCGCGAGCAGCGAGCCACATCATCGTGTCGGCGCTGATGTGGATCGTCTCGTGGTACTTCTGCACGAAATCAGCGGCATCCAAGATGTCGTCCTGGCTGTACTCGACGGAGCTGCTGCTGCTGCCGCCGTTGCTGTGGTGGTCGTGGTCGTGGTCGTCGTGGTCGTCGTGGTCGTCGTGTGAGTTGGTGTTGCTGCTGCTGTTGGTGGTGGGCAGCTCGGCCCTGTGCTTGAGCTTCTCTGCCTCAAAGTTTGGGGCGAGCCCCAGAACGAGGATGACAAAGCACAAGTCATTGTATCCGGCGTCCCTGTCGTAGGAGTAAGTGCTGCTGGTACTCGTGTTGATGAGGGCAGCCAGCAGCTGCAGGTGGTCGTGCAGAAGGTTGGGGTTGTTGGCGGAGAAGAGTTGAATCGTGTTGGGATCGGACACGAGAGCGCGCTGGATCAGGACTCGCGTGCTGGGGTGACCCTGCCGTGACTGCAACTCGCCAACCAGACTGCTAGTATCAATCATCGTGAGCAAGCGCAGCACCTGGTGACCCGTCAGAGCCTTAATGAGTGCGGTGTCATTCAGCACGTCGTCCATGAGTACGTGCATTGATGTCATGTTCAGCAGGGCACGCAGCGCGCCGTCGTTGTCGTCGCGGCGCAGAAACCGCTGGATGAAGAAGCGAATTGCCTTTGCATGGAGCTGCTGGTTGTCTGTTGCAAAATCGCTGAACACGTGCACGTGCGCAGTCTTGTCATCCTCGATTACAACGACTCTGTCGTAACCAGGCTGCCACTCTGGAAATGTTGATTTCTTGAAGAGCTTGTATGGGATGGTTGTGGGGCTGGGAACACGAAGGATGAAATCCTTGGTGTAGTAGCTGTAGTCACTGCCGCGGTTGCTGAGAAAGGCCGAGCGGGTTTGGTGCGTGGTCCGACACCCCCTGTGCTTCTTCGTGCCTTTCTTCGTGCCTTTCTTCTTGTTCTTGCCCTTGCTCTTGCTGTTTCCCTTCTTCCATTGTTGCCTTGGTCTGGACGGCCGACCAACCCCCAGGGTGGACCTTGCGTCACGCAACTCCTCCTCCTCCTCCTCCTCCTCATCATCATCATCATCATCGTCAACATCATCACTGTCATTGTCATCATCGTCATGTTGCTCTGGCAGCCGTGTTTCGGCGTTTGGCAGCCACTTTCCCTTGCCGTCTGCGTCGCAACATCTGCCAAAAGCAGGATGGCCTCCGAGCATGTGGATGATTTGTCGGCGTCTCTCCATCACGTGCACGTGCTGTGGAACAGGGCGACGAAACGTGGCGGTGTGAGCTGCCGTCAGAAAGGAGGGTGAGTGTGCACGCATGTTCTGCAAACAACAGCAACAGAGCGGCCATAGGATGAGATGGTGTGCCATTCTATTGGAGTGGGATTGTGTACAACTTACTACGTGAACGTCGCGGGTGCGTTGTGCGTGCGACGACACTGTCGCGCTTGCCTGAGTACCAGCTGCAAAGCGAGAATCAAGCAAGAACAACCCCCCATGTTGCTGTGAGCTTGTTTCCAAATGAGAAGGCGAGGCAACGCGCACGGTGTTGCTTGCAGGGTCAGGGCAGGGACATGCACACAAAACAGCGAGGGATCGAATACCTGCAGTCAAAACAGGGCCACTGTTGCCTGTTGCGAATGGTGGAGGAGCCTTGGAGTGGCTGTGCGGTGCTCCCATCAGCGACGTGGTTGTTTCCAGCACACCTCTGACGGCTGGGAAGTTGGTGGTCCTTCCCGAATTTGGGTGTTGTGGTAGTGGTGGCTGGACAGTCGCGGGAAGCTGCTGGCTGCATGAGTGTTCTGGCTGTTGTTGCGCATTTAATGGTTGCGGATGTCCACGGTCAACGGCACTGACATTCTCGTGCTGATTAGACCTTGGGTCTTGGGTTTGGTGTGTCTGGGTGCGCGTCATGTGCGCTTGAAGTGTTGCCATTGCGACCTGCATTTGCTCTGGTGAGAGCGAGGCCAATGTCGCGGGGTTCTGCAAAGCGGCTAGAAGGTTAGTCGCATCTACGGCGGGTTGCTGCTGCGTTTGCTGCCCTGCGTGATCTTGTGCTGTTGACTGGCTTGAGACTGGCGTGATATCTGTCGAAGCTGCTCGTCCCGCATGTTGGGTGTCCATTTCATGGGTCGCAGTCAGGGAAGATGTGTCTGGCGGATGCCTGTCCTCCCCTGAGTCGACAGGGTTTTGCTGTTTCGGTTCGTCGTCCATTTTGTGCGGAAAAGAAGCGAATGCGTTTTGTGTAGTGTGTGCTCGCAGTCGCCGCTTGAGCCTTCAAGTGTCGTCGCTTGGCAGACTGGAAGGAGGGAAGGGAGGTGCTGGCTTGACGAGGAGTGAAGGGCAGAGAAATGAAGTGCAAAGAGTGCGACTCAGAACAACACGGCCACCTGCAGCTGCACAAGGAGAGAACCAGTGTGTGTGTGTGTGTGTGTGTGTGTCTGTGTGTGTGTCTGTGTGTGTGTGTCTGTGTGTGTGTCTGTGTGTGTGTGTGTGTGTGTGCGGCCGGTGAGAGGGCGAGAGAGATAAATCACAACAAAAGCCGTTTTGACTTACGACCGAAGGAAAGGGCCCAAAGCGACACAGCGACACAGCGTTTGTCACGCTCCATGGTGTGACTGTATTTTTTTGTTTCCCATGCGCAACGTCGTCCCTCCTGCTGCCTGTGGCCTGTGCGGTGTCTTGTCTTGCTTGTTCGCTTCTTCCTTTCGTCTGACAAGCAACCAGCTGCAAGGACTGCGGGTTGTCTGGTTGTATCAGCGCCATGACACCCACGCACACAACAACCCAATCAGTCGTTTTTGTGTGTGTCATCGAGCCCTCCAACAAAACTGCTGAGTGCGCAATTTGCCTACTTATGTTGTCGTGAGTGAGATGTCCTCCTCAACGTCGCTGTTGTTTGTGTTCAGTGGTGGCACGGCCTGCAATGCCTTTGCCAAGTGAGTCGAGTGCGTCGAGCGATGCGACAAGCAACAAGCAAGTGGGGTGTGGATGTGCTTCATCAGGTTGTGTGCATTGGGGAGTGCAGGTTGTTGTTGTGTTTGTGCGTGTGTGTTTTTGTTTGTGTATTTGTTTTTGTGTGTATGTGTCTGTCTCACTCACTCTCTCCCTCTCTTGCTCTCTCTCTCCCTCCTGATCTCAATCACACACACACACACACACACACACACACACACACACACACACACACACACACACACACACACACACACACACACAACACACACACACACACACACACACACACACACACACACGCACCCCACACGCACACACAGTTACACACACACACACACACACACACACACACGCTTACATGCACACGCTTTTATGCACACGCAAATTCATCACACAGGGGCGGCACGAGCTGTGGAGGGGAGTATCGGCAGACCACAAGCAGATTATCCGCAGTTTCATGATCCACTTTCACACCGCCGTCCTCACAGCCGCTTCAGAGCAGCCAGGCCCAAACGGTGCGGCATGTGTCCTGTGTGTGTATGCCTCCGCTGTGCGTGTTCGTTTGCGTGAGGTGCAGGTGTAGATGCACAACACACGGCCGTGAGTTCGCTGTGCGTCTCTGTGTGACATGACCCACCGCTTCGTTATGTTCACGTGGTGCTTGTCCTCATTGCACTGCGTGCATGCGCAGGAGAGGCCGTCAAGGCGTTTTGCTTCCATCGCGGTAGTGTCGGTAACTTCTTCTTCTCCGGCTGCCGCAAGTTCTTCAACTCTCTCTCCGCTGCCATCACTTTGTGGTGAGTAAGTGCGAGTGTGTGTGTGTGCGTGTGTGTATAAGTGCGTTAGTGAGTGAGTGCACCTGCATGTGCGTGAATGTGTGTGTGAGTGAATGTGTGTGCGTGGGAGTGCGTGTGTGCGTGTGTACGTGTGTGTTTGGTCGTAATTCATCCCACTCACCTGCTGCGTACAATCCGCACACCCCGCCTTCCCACATGTCTCGTGCCAGGTCCTCGCTGGTGGGGATCCCGCACGAGACGGCGGTGCTGCCCATCATCAACAGCAATCACACCGTCACCATCGGCGCACAGCTCGAGGACGGCTCAAAGGTGGCTCGCGCAGTGTGTGATTTTGTTTGCTTTGTTTGTTTGCTTTGTTTGCTTGTTGATCGTGGTTTATTGGGGAAAACTCGCTGAAATGTTTGCTTTGTTTGCTTGTTTGCTTTGTTTGTTTGTGTGTTTGTTTGCCTGCTTTGCGTGTTTGTTTGTGTGTGTGTGTGTTTGTGTTTGTGTATGCGTCGTTTTCTCGCGCTGCAGATCTTTGGACAGAACCAGATCAGCCACCCCGGCGATGTGGTGAGCAGCCACCATACACCTCGCTGTCTCCAATAGCGCTGGCACAAGGCGATGCACCTCTTCTTTGCAGACTCGATGCTTCCCCCCCCCACCACACACGCACGCACGCACACACATGCACACACACGTACAAACACACACCCCATGCATACACACAGACACGGGCACACACACACACACACACACTCTCTCTCTCTCTCCGCACTGACTCGGAAAACCTCTGCTCATCCAACTCTCCATGCAGGTGGACAAGCAGCACCAAGGGCAGCAGCCGTTGCCTGCACGCATCCGCCGCCTCTTCTACCTGAACGACTGGCGCCAGGAGATTGAATTCCACGCCGACCCCTCCGTCCTCTCCACCCTCTCACACGCCGCCATGGTCCGTGTGTACATGTATACATGTGAGTGTGTGTGCAGGCATGTGTGCAGGCATGTGTGTGTACATGTGTACATACGTGTGTGTGTGTGTACATGTGTACGTGTGTGTGTTCATGTGTGTATGTACATACGTGTATGTGTATGTGTGTGTGTATGTGCGCGTTATCCTTCGTCGCTGTTTCTCCCAAGTGACATTTCGCAAATCGTGCAGTCTGCTGACTCGTCCACTTCTCCCCGCATCTTGTCTTGATTCAGGTTGTGTACAGCATGGGGTCCCTGTACACGTCCATATGCGCATCGCTGGCTACGAAGGGCGTCGGCGACCACATTGCCACCCTGGCCTGCCCAAAGGTGCAATGTTGGTAGTGGCGGCGGTGGTGTCTGCCTTGGTTCATGGGAGGGGATGTGGTGTTGGCGTGGTGTTGATGTAGTGCAGAGTCAAAAACACACGTGCCAAATCAGCTCACACACACACACACACACACACACACACACACACACACACACACACACACACACACACACACACACACAAACACACACACACACACACACATCCACACGCAGGTGCTCATCCTGAATGGGACGGTTGACCGGGAGACGCACGGCATGACGGCGATGGACTTTGTGTGGGCGATTGTGCACGCGTGTGTCGGCTCCTCGCGCCACAACGCCAACCAGCGCACAGCGAAGCAGGACGACGCAGCCCTCGTCTCCCAGTTTGTCACACATGTCAGTCGTGTGCGCGTGTGTGAATGTGTGTATGTGTGTGCGTGTGCGTGTGCGTGTGCGTGTATGTGTGTATGTGTGTGCGTGTGCGTGTGCGTGTGCGTATGTGTGTGCGTGTGCGTGTGTGCGCGTCGCCATTAGCTTGATAAATGTCTCATACCATCCACACCGCGCTATTGATACCATTTCTTGTTCCTGGGTGGCGATGCCGGTGGCACAGGTGCTGTATCTGACGACGTCGGAGGTGCCCATGGACGGTGGCAGGTGCGCCATTCAGATGTGGGGCTCTGGTGTTGGGGGACGGGCAAAGGGATAGAGGCACACTTGTTTGCAGCATTCACCGTGTCAGTCAGTCAGTCACTGGCACACACACACACACACACACACACACTCTCTCTCTCTCTCACACACACACGCACACACACACACACACACACACACACGCACACACACACACATGCATGCATGCATGCACGCATACACACATTTTCATACACACACACTCTCTCTCTCATACACACACACTCACTCACACAAATACAAACAAACAGGTTGGAGGAGCTTGGGCTGCGGGTGATCCCCATATCGGAGCATGCAGCGTCGAATCCGCAGCACTACCGCACGCGCGCGCTCGTCAGCGCCATCCTGGACATCCTGCCGCCGGATCGCGGCAGTTCATGACGTGGCTGTGGCTCATGCGCTGTTGTGGCGTCGAACACACTCCAAGCGTTCACGTCGCGCTGGCTTGCACGGCATCTCCAACCGCCGCCGTGCTGGTTCTCGGCGCTCTCTTGCCCGTGTTACCCTCGTGTATCAGCAACCCACATAAGTGAACGCAAACCAAGCACACCCAAGCACAACAGGCAAGAGCACGTGCATGAGAGCACAGTGGAAGCACTGCACTGCACATCACACCTCATCACACCTCACATCACACGTCACGAGTTGTTGGCAAACAAGCAAACACGCAAATGCAGCGTCAGCAAAAGCACACGACGACAACGAAGAAGAGACAACATTCACAACCGCTTTCACCTTTTTGGCAGACACACATCCGCGCACCACCAATACACACCACACACAGGCACCATGCCCGCGGAAGGAGACGTGCAGACCTTGCATGTGCGTCGAGGGAAGCAGAGGGTTTGTGGTGTGGGGAGTGGGGCCGGGGGCCGGTGTCCGCTGGGTGGCGATGTGGCACAACCAAAGCTGAACCGCTCATGATCGTGTCCTTGTGTGTGTGTGTGTGTGTGTGTGTGTGTGTGTGTGTGTGTGTGTGTGTGTGTGTGTGTGTGTGTGTGTGTGTGTGTGTGTGTGTGTGTGTGTGTGTGTGTGTGTGTGTGTGTGTGTGTACAATGTGGCAACCGTGCTGATTGATTGCAGGAGGTCACGCAACTGCCCATCGCAGCCTGTCAACGCATCCTCAGCGCACACAACAACAACCTCCAGGTCAGCGAATGTGTGTGTGTGTGTGTGTGTTTCTTTGTATGTGTGTGGTAGTATGGTGGACAGCTGCCTGCGTCTCTGCGTTCCAGCTTCTCTCACATTCACACACACGCACGCACGCACGCACACACACACACACACACACACACACATTCACAGGCGGCGCTGGAGGCTGTCCTGTCGAACGCCGGTGCTGACGGCGATCTCAGTGCTACAAGCAGCTCGTTGTCGTCGCAACCAAGCGTGCCCAGGCACGGCAGCAATGGGTTGCGGCGGCGCACAACAGCAGCAGCAGCATCATCAGCATCATCAGCAACAGCAGCAGCAGCATCATCATCATCATCAACAGGGGCAGCGTCTACAGCTGAGACTGGAAGGCAACACCAGCCATCCTCTGCGCAGCTCACATCCAGCACCGCGTCCTCAGCCTCATCAAGGGGCTCACCAGCCACCACACCAACGGTCCGATACGCAAACGTGTTGTGTGTGTGTGTGTGTGCTTT